TTAGATGGACCAACTTATTTTTCTAAGGACTCTCAAAATCATTCTCATGACGACACATATAATGATTCTAATGTTGTATTGCTTCTATTTTAATATATAAGGGATAACTGAATAAGATGTCTTACTCATGTATTTTATAATTATTTGTATCTTATTATAACAAATTTTTAAACATTGATCACAAAAAAAGTTCTTTTGACACTTTTAACAGTTTAGTAATTTACACCCGTTTTAAAAAATTCAAAATATAACATATACGAAAAAATCTAAATTTTTATTATCTGGTTAATATAATTGTGTAATTTATCTTAATAACAAAGACTTAAACAAAAATGGTAAAGGGTATACAAATTGTTAGCAAATCTTTATTATTAAAAATAATTAATTGTCATATATTTTAATCACAGAAATAACTCTGTAGCTTAGTTTAAGGGAAAAAAATAACAACTTTTAAGATTAATTAGAATTTTATGATTAGTTTAATGAAAACTATAGTTTATTAGATGGACCAAATTATTTTCTAAGGACTCTTAAAATCATTTTCATAACGACACGTACAATGATTCTAATGTTGTATTGCTTCGGTTTTAATATATAAGGGATAATTAAAGCATATTTAATATATTCTTCTTCTATTTTTTTTTTTGCAAGAATTTGTACTTCTGATATCCCGATTCACAGAAGAAGAGACAACTCAGAATCCAGTGAATAAGGATATAAAATGTTCTCGAAAATTCAGAGGGAAACAAAAGATAAATGATACATGTTATGAGAAATAATTTTAATTATTAAGACAATACAGATTATTAACTTTATTTTGATCTAATTCATTCAGGAAATACTAATTGGATGCATCTTGACATCTTGTACATACGCAATAAAGGACCGTACCAATACAAATTGGATCCTGCGCTCTTATGGTTCAGTGATTGATAATCAGGTAAGTACAAAACCAAACATATATTTAAGTTGCCATGTCACAATATAGGAAAAAATTATTATCTTCTGATATTCTCAAATATGCTGAAAGAAAACCAATAATAATCAATAGGCTAACGTTTATTTTGGTACACATAGTTTGATGTCCTTTGACTTGTCAAAGATAGGAAGAACAGGAAAATATTTCATGTCTTCGTTGGTAGAACAATAACTCAAAACGTTCATTTC